TTTGCTGTAAATCTATAATATTTAGTTTGTCTGTCAGGATGTAAGCATACAACTTACATATAACTGACTTTTTGTACGACATCTTTCGATGAACATGTTTACATTATATTGTGACATTTTTAGAGTGGTCTTTGAAATAGATACAATATCACAGATGTAAAGTACTCGAACAATGTTTGAACAATGTTAGCTGATTGCTGTACTTAAGTACTACTTTTATGATTTGTACCCTACTTGAGTACAGTTAAAATTAATGTTTACTTTTACTTCATTACTTTTTTAATAACAGTATTTTTTTTTTTACAACTTTCAATTTTATTTATTCTCAAAAAAAAGTTCCTCACTCCTATCAAAACGACAAAGCTGCTTAAATTAATGTTATTTACTTTGTAATTGACATTCATTTCAATATTCCATCAAACTGGTCAGACATGCTCTTCGATTGTTTAGAAGTCATGTCCTGTCACATTGAGCTCTACAATACACATCAACCCCAGTAAGTCTGCTATCAGTACACTTCTGTTAAGCTAAACATAAGAAATTATACATTTAGTCCATTGTCTGTGTACATATCCACATAATTGTATTTAGATGCCGCACAGAAATAAACTTAAACCTCACTTAAGTATATTTAAACTTATACAAACAGAAAGCGTTTAGTTATTGGTCCTACAGTATGCTTGGTCATTGGTTTACGCGTACAATTTTATTACAGTACGTGTTCTAAGTACATTTGGTTAGTAGTTATTTTGACACCCTTTGATTAATTGGGACACATAATTTTTCTACATAATGTTATAACACATGTATTAAGACAGAGAATAAATTTGTTTGAGTCGACTTAACTGAAATGAACTGCGAACATGTCAAATCTTTATAAAAGACGGTAATCTTATAATAACACAAATTTAACTGCTTACTGCAGTGAGAAAAATATTAAAATGAAATCACATAAACATAAAAAGTATACATGCAGCTAGACAAAGAGCCTGTATAATTCAATGTAATTAATTATTTGCTATCTTGAAATGTCATATTTTGAAATATTAAATTTGGTATATTTGAATTGTAAATAATTTGTACTACAGCATATTCTCTTGGGTATTTAATGTACTTTTATGGGCTATATTTGATAAGCAACAAGTATACTTTGACCATATGACTGTGTAAGTTCATTACATGGTTGAATAATGTTTGAAGCTTTTGTTATTTTTATTACAATGATCTTTATAATTTTTTTAATAATGTTTATAATTTTTATTAAATTATAAACATTTTCAAAATCCACAGATAATTTAAAACTGCACTTATTCTGAGAAAAAATGCTCAGCGGTTACTTCAGTTGTTTTCTAAATTGGTTTCTACAAATTGCATGACATGTTTTCAATAACACACTATCCCTTGTGGTAACTGCTTTGTGTACTACTAGTTAACCAAGGCTACACTAGCTGTACTCTTGCAAGTTTCAAGACACTAGAGTACTATGGACACTGTATCACTATAAATTATAACGCTAAATTGTTTGGAAAGTCAGACCTGTGGTGCAAATGTTGAAGCATTGAGCATGCAGCACCGACAGTTCTCATATGGATGGTTTAAGTGGAGACATAAATGCATCATTTCATTGCATCATTTCCAGCACAAACTATTTATCTACTACAAGTATAAGTGAACTACTAATATTCTTATAAGTTGACAGGATGTATAAATAAAAATGTTATAGTTAGCTACTTGTGTGCTTAATGTTTACTGCTGTCACACTTGAAATTAAACTTTTACAGTATACTCTATACTAAAAAGAACACAGTAAACATGTAAATATCGACAGTATTCAGGTCTTTTGTCTAGCTGCATGTATACTTTTTATGTTTATGTGATTTCATTTTAATATTTTTCTCACTGCAGTAAGCAGTTAAATTTGTGTTATTATAAGATTACCGTCTTTTATAAAGATTTGACATGTTCGCAGTTCATTTCAGTTAAGTCGACTCAAACAAATTTATTCTCTGTCTTAATACATGTGTCTATAACATTATGTAGAAAAATTATGTGTCCCAATTAATCAATGGGTGTCAAAATAACTACTAACCAAATGTACTTAGAACACGTACTGTAATAAAATTGTACGCGTAAACCAATGACCAAGCATACTGTAGGACCAATAACTAAACGCTTTCTGTTTGTATAAGTTTAAATATACTTAAGTGAGGTTTA